CTTGCTCGAGAGTTGCAGTAGCGTGGTCAGCTTCGTCTTGCTTACGTGGCCACTCGGGCCACCACTGCTGATATATTCACCAAGACACTTCAGCTTGGTGATCATAAGCGTTTCAGTACTGTTTTAGGCCTTGTGCCTACTTTGCCTCACTTGCTCACTTCGTGACTTTGCTTGTACTGTGATCTATATACTTGTACCTGTATGCTTACACTTGCTAGGTTGTGATCACTGTACTGTTTGTTCCCATTTATATAACTCTGCATGTGAACTGGCCTTGTGGCCTTTTGCTTGTGCTCAGAGTGTGTGGTGACTTCGTGATCCACCCTGAGCTTGCTTTGCTATTCTTAACTGGTCTTGTGACCCCTTGTTCTCCCCCACTTTGCCTATGGGGGTGTGTCAAACTCTTATGTTGTGTGTTATGTAGGTTGTAGTGGGGTAGCCTATATGGGGTACAACCCAATTAGAGTTATTACTTGTACCTTGTTTCTGTTCAATGCCATTCATTCCTTGTCGCTTAGTCTTCTGACAGAGACCTGGACATGGGAAGAACTCCAATGGGATGGGAATAAGTTGCAAGTCGTCGTAGTGGGGGAGCACCAATAGTGTAGGAGGCGAATCCCACACCTTTCGCGCCCACTTGACCATTTCCTTCACGCTGCTGTGCAATCTGTCCACTTCTCATTCGACCATGCTCCATTGCATGCACTTCACTCCCATACTTATCATTCCTCCCCCGTGCTTCCCTTTGCATGGAAGATTGAGGTGCGGGCTCGGAGGCCCCCTCTCCTTGGATGGATGCATTCCTCCCTTAGGACAACTCTCCTCCTTGGGGTATGCCCATTTCCCCTTCACCGTCAATTCCTGCTCGAACATTTGCACGAGTTTGGTTAGTATTTGGGGTCTTTGAATGAGAATGTCCACCGGCGTTCGGATTGCTGGACTCATGAGAGAGCGTTGTCCTTGGCTGGATTATCATTCCGAGCTTGTCCCTCAACGAAGCTTGGAGTGTTGGTGGTGCCCTTGGAATCATGTTATCCAGGTGCCCATGCTGAGACAAGATGGCTTCTTTAGAAGCCGCATATCTATCATCCACTCCGCCGTCGAAGTGCGCCATGATCCTGATCAAACAGTTAACCAAATATACACTAAACACGCGGTTGTAACCAGCAGCGAACACCAGGTGTGCGAAAGCGTAGACCGGGTGTGCGGTACTCTGTCTATATGCGGGTACCTATCAGAAGTGAATATCAGTGAATTCATGAACAAAATTTGGCAGCATGCCCCCTAGAGTAGCTCTGATACCATGTTAGAAAGGCATAGTGCCAGCATAGCGGAAACATGTTTGCCTTGATCATTGAATTGTAGAATGATGACACAATGATGATGAAGAAGTGACACAGCAGGGTATATATGCATCCACCTACCCTTCCAGAATGACCCCATTCACACCAATAATGGTGTACCAATAATTGTACCCTCTTCCCTCCAATAATGCTAGGCTCCAATAATTGTGGCCCTACAAAAATTGTGACAATTAGTGTAGGACATGGAGGCTTATAACGAGGACTATACTAAAACCAAATAGCACACTGGTATACAGTATTCGTTATACTGTATTTGAATTTCCAACAGTACTGTGATCTATATATTTGTCTGCATGCTTATCTTTGCTAGGTGGTGTTCACTGTACTACATGTGCTCTTTGTAACTCTGCATGTGAACTGGCCTCTTGGTCATTTGCTTGTGCTCGGATTGTGTGGTGACTTTGTGATCCACCCTGAGCTTCGTTTTGCTTTTCTTCTTGACTGGCCTTGTGGTCGTTGCTTGCTCTGGCTATCCCCACTTCCCTTATGAGGCTATAATTTGTTTAGCCATTAGAGGGTACATGTTTTTCTTGACGCTTGTTTATACCCACCTTGGTTGACCTAATCACCATTCACCTTTCTCTAAGTCATCGTCAACATGTTTTTTCGCTTCTTGTTTTTCCCATGTTGTTATTGCATCCCTTGCAGGCCCATGTCTAAGGCATTTGCTTTCCGTGCGTTGGGCTTGCTTTGCATGAGTTGGACGTGCTTCATGCTAGAAAGGCATAGTGCCAGCGTAGCGGAAACGTGTTTGTAGAAACAAGATAGAAATCTTGCATTGATCATTGAATTGTAGAATGATAACGCAATGATGATGAAGAAGTGACACAGCAAGGTATATATGCATCCAGCTACCCTTCCAGAATGACCCATTCACACCAATAATGGTGTACCAATAATTGTACCATCTACCCTCCAATAATGCTAGGCTCCAATAATTGTGGCCCTACAATAATTGCGACAATTATTGTAGGACCTGGAAGCTTATAATGAGGACTGCACTAAACTGAACAGCACACTGGTATACAGTATTCATTTTACTGTATTCGGATTTCCAACACTCCCCCTTGCTGTAGGTTTTAGTGAATCCGTTTTCCTTGGAGGATAGGGTGGTCGAGGTGGTGTACCACCACAAGGTAGGGGTGCGCCCAAACCAAGCTAGGGTTTGGTGTTGGCCAAACTGCTTGTCAGTGTAGCACCTTTCCCCTCCCAACCTTTGGGCCTTCCAAACTCCAACCAAACCACCTTCAATACGTTTTCCAATCCCTCCTTCCAATCTTGACATTCTAGATCGGGTTCTAGAGAGTAGTGGTTGCTGCTGAGGAAATCGTAGCACCTCCATGGCGAAATCTCCTCAAAACCATGGCGGAATGCGCGTATCGTCATGGCGGAATGCCCTTAGCGCACGCCAAATTTCCGAAACCATAGACTTTAAGACACGCGATTGCCAGTGCTGCTGTCTTTTTTGCATGCCTCCTGTGCGACGACGCGAAACCGCAGCGGATGCGCGTCTGCGACGATTGCAGTTGCAGATGACTCGAAGCGGTAGCGGACAACGTATGGCATGCGGCTGGCGCAGAACTGCATCGGCAGACGCACACTTCGCGCGATGGAAGCGACGACCTGGCGTTCGTCAGCAGTTGACGACCTGGTGCGCGTCTGCTGCAACATTTTCCAGTCCGCACTTACTGCATCTTCGTGGGGTTCTCCCCCTGCCTTTCACTCCCTGCCTGTCTCCCTACCTTTCTCCGTAAATCTTGCCTTCTCCTCGTGCCTCGTGCTATAATGGCACAAGGTTGTCCACGTCTTTGGCAATGATGCCAAGTTTTGCTCAAACTTCACCGATGTTGCCTTGTGATGCTCCCCCTGCACTCCAGCTGACGTGCGGTAGCATCAAGAGTTGCAGAACTCCATCGGGTGGAGGGTTGCGCATGTCGACGCACTCCAAGTATGCCGAACACTGCACTTCATGTATGCAGAAATTCCCACTCCAAGTACGTAATGCACACCACGTATGCAGTCTTGTGCACACCAAGGTATGCAGTAATGTTTACTCCCATGTATGTTCTCCATCCTTCCCTCAGGTGGTGCCGTTCATCAGCAGCAACCAGTCGCACGATACCGCTGCATCCAAGGATGAGAGATGGCGACCGGCTGCATCCTTCCTGCCCACGCCCCTGCCTATTGGCAACCCTTGGTGAGTAGGTATTCCCCTTATGCTTCTTGACTCCATGTCCCACTCCAGTGACACTAGATACACTCCACACCCCACCCCCCCCCACCCATGTGCTTGTAGTCATGCACGGCTACAAGCACGTGAGCGAGTGTGGAGTTAGGTGATGCCATGTTGTGCAGCACAACTCGAGGAGGCCGCACATGTGAGTATAACTCCTAAATCCTTGACCTGATTGCGGTTCAGCAGACCATTCAGCAGTTGGCAAGTGAGATGCTGCCCGCTAGGCATGTCCACCTCATTTCCCACATCATCATTTTCCACTCCTTTCGGAATGGAGACACCAGTCATAGGTACGCTATCAGCTGTACCTTTCCTTCGACTACACTGACTTCATCAGCTGCATCAGCTCTAAGAAAGTCTTGTTTTGCATATTCTGCTCCTTTGCCTTCATGACCTTCAATGGTCGAGAATGCGGAGATAACTACTACAACGGGAGCTAGACTATGGGCTAGGCACGGGTGCTCGTGTGATCTCTGCGTTCGTTGGTCCTTGGTCGTTTTCCTAGTGCACACACTGCTTGCTAGTTCACGGGGCAAGTTGGCAAGAGTTTCACTAGAGAAAGTGGACAACAACGGTACAATCAGGTTGGCAAGACAAGACTACATCAGAGCTAGCATGCAAGCAGGTCGATTGCCAGCGCAGCATGGTCGACCGCGTTCCAGCACGACTTGGTCGACCGCGCTCCAGCAGTGCAAAGTCGAAGGCGTGCCGACGCTGTGGGTTGACGGCGTGCCAGCGTTGCTCCCGCAGTACAGCATCGCACCAGCTTCGCAGGTGCTCGCAGGTGATTGGCGCGCTGAGCCTTGTCACCTGCACAACGCACACACCAAGTCAACCTGGCGCTGACGACTGCATCTGATCAGCCACGTCGACCTCGGGATACCACCACCGAGGTCGGACTCACCAACTTTGTTACAATACTAAGTTAACTAGAGTACGGGTTTAACTAAGGGGCCTAGGCTTAGTAGCCTAGGCCAAACGGGTGTTGAGTAGTTTGTGCCAAGGAGAACTGAGAATGGTTAGAGGTTCACTATAGCACACGAGTACATATAGCAACCTAACAAAGATGAAAGAGGTGCACCACCATACAAGGGAATTACACAACAGCTATACTACAGGCAGATTATGCTAAATAGATATAAATCTATTGTGACACACCCCCTATCTGCCTGAAGTGCATAACCATGTGCAGAGCCCCCCTTGAAGGGGTACGCCTGTAAAACCCCATTACAGGGCGTGGGAACACCAGCAAGGGGCCCCCTCTGAAGCTGACAAGCAGCAACCACCAAGCAGCATCTGAACCACCGCGGTGGAACAGGTTCTCGGCTGCGGTTGAACGCCCCGCAGCTGGTGCACGGTGTGCGAGGAGCACGGGTACGGGTAGCGGGTTCGGGTAGCAACTAGGTGCTGTACGGGACGGGCCGTACGGGGGTGATGGGCAGCACGAGACCGGGCAGCACAGACCGGGTGGGGCACGAGCGAGAACTGACAGCACGGGTGGGGCACGAACGGGTACGGACAGCACGGGTAGGGCACAAACGAGCAGAACGGGGCAGCACGGGCAGAACGGGGCAGGACACGGGCTGAACGGGGCAACACGGGCAGAGCGGGGCAGGACACGGGCTGAACGGGGCAGGACACGGGCTGAACGGGGCAGGACACGGGCTGAACGGGGCAACACGGGCAGAACGGGGCAACACGGGCAGAGCGGGGCAGGACACGGGCTGAACGGGGCAACACGGGCAGAACGGGGCAACACGGGGACAACGGGGCAGCACAGGCAGAACGGGGCAGGACAAGGGCTGAATGGGGCAACAAGGCACGGAAACGGGCACGACACAGGCAGAACGGGGCAGCACGGGGGCAGCATGGGAACACGGGGGCAGCACGGGAACACGGGGACAGCACGGGAACACGGGGACAGCACGGGAGCAGCACGGGAACATGGGGACAGCACGGGAACACGGGGACAGCACGGGAACACGGGGACAGCACGGGAACACGGGGACAGCACGGGAGCAGCACGGGAACACGGGGGGCAGCACGGGAGCACGGGGGCAGCACAGGAGCACGGGGGCAGCACGGGAAGCACGGGACGCACGGGTGAAACGGGTGGGGCACAACCGGGTACGGACAGCATGGGTGAAACGGGTGGGGCACAACCGGGTACGGACAGCACGGGCACGTGGAACACGAGCGGACAGCACGGGCATGGGCATGGGGCAAGCACGGGGAACTCGGGGCAGACAGCACGGGCACGGGCACGGGGCAAGCACGGGGAAGTACGGGCAATACGGGAGGAATGGGGCAGGGGATGAGAGGAGGAGGCGGCTGATGCTGCATATGAACTCTCACCACCCACACCCCCTGAACCTTTCCCCCCACAGCAGCATTGACGGAGAAAGAGAGGTGGAGGTGTAGTGGCGGTAGGTGCTGCAGCTGAATCACCCACCCCCTCAACCTCCCCCCCAACAGCAGCAGATGCAGGAGTGAGAAAGAGGAGGAGGGGGTGGCTGGTGCTGCAGCTGGACTCACCCACCCACACCCCCTGATCCAGCAGTGGCGGAGAGAGAGAGGGGGAGGTGTGGCGGCAGTAGCTGCAGATGGATCACCCACCCCCTCAACCTCCCCCTTACATGAGCCGCCAACCCCGCCACTCCCCCTCCCCCAGCCGTCCCCTTCGGGCCACACCTCCTCCCCTTCCCGCTGGAAACGGAGCCGGAGATGGGGGTGGGGCGGCAGTTGTCGGTGGGGGGGGGCGGGATCTGGGGCAGAACGGCGGTTTGGGTGCAGGTACGGGGTGCGGACGGGTCTCGCGGACGGGGGCACGGACGTCGTGCGTGGTGTGGATGGCGTACGGGCGACGGGCGGGGTGCGGGGTGCGGGTGGAGTACGGGCGACGGGCGGGGTGTGGGGTGCGGGTCGCGGACGATCTGGCGCGTGCAAGGGCGTAGCAGTAGCTTCTCCCGCCATTCCCTTCACAGCAGTTGCGAAGTCGACGGGAGGGCAGGCGGGGACCTGGCGACGGGCAGCGGAGAGCGTACGGGTGGCGGGGATCTGGCGACGGGCGGCAGTGCGACGGGACGGGCGACGGGCTGCAGCAGCGGATATCGCGCGGGCGGCGGGATGCAGTTGCGGGTAGCGCGTCAGCGACAGGCATGCTGGCGGGTTCGTCGGCGGGCTGACTCGTGCGCTGGCGGAACCGACGGCGGGTCCGTCGGCGGGTTTGCTGACGCACGCGTTGGCGGGTCGGCTGGCTCGCTTGCTGGCGGGCTCGCGGGTCCGATGGCGAGCTCGCTGGCGGGTCCGTCGGCGGGTTCGTCGGCGGGTCCGTCGGCAGGCTTGCTGATGCGCGTGCTGGCGGGTCCGTCGGCGGGTCCGCTGGCTAGCTTGCTGACGGGTCCGCGGATCCGCTGGCTCTCTTGCTGGCGGGTCCGCGGGTGAATTGGGGCCGTAACGGTAGGGCGCGACGAGCGCCCTCGCGCAGGTCGTCGTCGCTAGCGCAGCAGCAGCGGGACAGCGAGCCGGTGGGACGACGGGCGAGCGACGGGTGGGGCCAGCGATGCGCGTAACGGGTTGCACAACGGCCCGATCGACGGGGCGCGCCATAGCAACAGACGGTGGTGGGCCCATTGACTTAGGTGTAGGATCTTAGTAGCTCGATACCATGTTACAATACTAAGTTAACTAGAGTACGGGTTTAACTAAGGGGCCTAGGCTTAGTAGCCTAGGCCAAACGGGTGTCGAGTAGTTTGTGCCAAGGAGAATTGAGAATGGTTAGAGGTTCACTATAGCACACGAGTACATATAGCAACCTAACAAAGATGAAAGAGGTGCACCACCATACAAGGGAATTACACAACAGCTACACTACAGGCAGATTATACAAAATAGATATAAATCTATTGTGACAAACTTCACCTGGGCGACCGTCGCACTCCTCTGCAGAACCTCGTCACCCAGGTAACCTGGTCGACCGGGCAACCACGTCGACCAGCTGCTCCTGTATGTGCTCGTCGACCTCCCAAGTCGACGACCACCCCAAGTCGACCTCACCAAGTTGACCACACCTCTGGTCGACCAGCTCCAGGTCGACGCCACTCCTGGTCGACCAGCTCCACGTCGACCAGCACTCCTGGTCGACTAGCTCCATGTCGACCAGCGTAGTTGTCGCCGACCACTCAAGTCGACTACCCGAAGTCGGCGTCACCAAGTTGACGCCCTGCTACTCGACGCCTAACTGCTCGGCGTCCTGAGTCATGGTCGACGTCGGCCCCTCCTTCGTCGACCACCAGGTTGACATCACACCTGGTCGACCAACCACCAGGTCGACCAGCAGGCCAGTCAGCCAACCACCTAAGTCGGCTGCCCCAAGTTGGCGTCACCAAGTTGACGTCCTCCGCAGGTCGACTTCCCAGGTCGACCTCCCTGAAGTCGGCGCCCGTGCAGTGGCCCCTGTGCAGGTCGACCTCCTCGTCAACCAGCTCGCCCACTGCTGCAGGTCGGCTGCTCCCCTCACACCCGTCTACGAAGTCGGCTCCGCCCAAGCGAGGACGGGGCCAACACACAACTCCCGTTGATAGAGAATGCAGGAATCGAATCCACTACAAACCTCTGTCCTTCTCCCCATAAAGTCCACACCACACCGTTGGATGAGACTTCATCCTTGTCAACATCATGGGCCGGGCTCCGCACGATGCAGGCTTTGTGTGCCATGCGGTACTGAACAGATGCGTGGGCAGAACGCGCGCTCAATTGCACTCCAGGTGTACGGGAAAGCGCGCTCCCGTGTGTATCCAAGTGCACTCCAGGTGTGCGAAAAGGTGAATTCCCTCCATCCCGGGGTTGACTAGGATCATGGGCTGATGGAAGAGGACTTCAGTGTAGCGAACTGTTGTCCCATCAGGTGCTCTTGCTCTGATCGTTCCCGTCATCATGCTGCTCAGCTCACTCCCATCAGCGAGCTCCACATAAACATGCACGTCCAGCTCCCTTAACTCTTCAAACCAGCGCTTGTCCGAGGTCATGTGTTAGCTGCATCCACTGTCCAGCATCCAAAATGACGCTTTAGCTGGTGGAAAGGTAGCTTGTGTCGATCCCACCGTTGCAATGCATGTAACATTACGTTGCTTGTCTTCCCTGGCTGTCCCTTGCTGTCTTGAAGCATTGTTGTCACGCTTGGGGCCGCGACTTCTTTGTGGAGAGAACGGACGGCAGTTGTTGGCGTGCAGTTTTGTCCTTCCGCTAGTATGCGGTTTCCATCCTGGTGGTGACCAGCCAGGGGGTGCCTTGGTACACTTGAAGAAGGGGTGCCCTTGCTGTCTTGACACATTGTTGTCACGCTTGGGGCCGCGACTCCTTTGTGGAGAGAACGAATGGCAGTTGTTGGTGTGCAGTTTTGTCCTTCCGCTGGTATGCGGTTTCCATCCTGGTGGTGACCAGCCAGGGGGTGCCTTGGTACACTTGAAGAAGGGGTGCCCTTGCTCCTTGCAGTACCAACACACAAGATATGAGCGACTTGCATCTCCATCCCTGCCATGTGTTTTCTTTCCGACGGACCCCTCCTTCTTCCCGCTATTGCCCTTAGCAGTTGGAGAAGGTGAGCGGTCTCCACGTGCTTGTCCAACCATGCGAGGTGGACGCCGGTCACGGTTATCCTTTGTGATGAGGTCGTGATATCTCTGCTCCTGAATCATCATCCACTGCAAGGTGAAGATGTCCATCATATCGTGTAGCATTGCCGAGTGCCTCATTTCCTCCCAATGTGCCGGTAGTCCGGTGAGCAGGTTCAATGTGAATGTGTCCTCATCAACCATCTTTCCCGCTAGTGCCAACTTTTTCCGAATCGTTGTTACGCGGTTGACGTACTCCTCCACCCTTTCCTAGTTCCCCATTTTCAGGTTGTCCAACTGTTTCAAGAGAGCGACCTTCGCCACCGAATCCTTGGCATGGTAAGTATCCATTAAATCCTCCCATGCTTCATATGCCGGGCTGTGGGATTCCTGAAACATGTCCAGTTGCAGCTGAATCGTGGCACTCACGCTGTGCAGTAGGACCCAAAAAGCGAGTGCCGCACGCTGTGAGTAATCCGCCTGTAGCATTTCAAGCCGCCCCATAGCGTCGTCAATGTCACCATCTCCAATGGTATCTGGATACTGCAGGGTCACAAAGAACTCCCACAGATTCGTGACGCGAGCATTCATACGAAACCGTAGTGCCCACTCCCAGAAGTTCGAGCCATCAAACGGAGTAGTGGTGAACGCCTTGTCCACCGTTGCTCCCACCATTTTGCGGGACAGCCGTTCCTTGTCTTCTTCCGTGTATTCACTTGGAGCAGGGTCGAAGAGAGTAGGTACAGTTGAAGGTCAAGGTACCTGAACCGTGCGCTGCATGTCCTCATTCCGTCCACCAAGTTGACGTTCCAGCACTTCCACTTGATCACGTCGCATGACGCCGCTTGACTGCATTCTGTATCCCATTCGTCCCATGCTGTCCACAGGATGTACTCCTATCGGTCGACGTGGTGCACACGAAGGTATGTCATAGCCACCATGAATGTGAGATCTGGCCATGGGAGGAACTCCAATGGGATGAGAGTTAGTCGCAAGTCGTCGTAGTGGGGGAGCACCAATAGTGTAGGAGGCAAAACCCACACCTTCCACGCCCACTTGACCATTTCCGTCACCCTGCAGCCCAATCTGTCCACTTCTCATTCCACCATGCACTGCACTCCCATATTGATCATTCCTCCCCCGTGCTTCCCTTTGCATGGATGGTTGAGGTGTGGGATTGGTGCTCTCCTCACCTTGGACGGATGCATCCCTCCCTTGAGATGACTCTCCTCCTTGAGGTATGCCCATTTCCCCTTCACCATCAATTCCTGCATAAATATTTGCATGAGTTTGGTTAGTAGGTGGAGTGCTTGAATGAGAGTGTCCACGGGTGGACGGGTTGCTGGACTCATGAGAGAACGTTGTCCTTGGCTGGATTGTCATTCCAAACTTGTCCCTTAACGAAGCTCGGAGTGTTGGTGGTGCCCTTGCAAGCATGTTTTCCAGGAGCTCATGCTGAGCCATGATAGCTTCTTCAAAAGCCGCATATCCAGGCTCCACTTCGCCATCAAAGTGCGCCATGAACTTTATCAATCCGTTCACCAAGTGTGCGCTGAACGCGCGGTTGTACGCAGCAGCGAACACCAGGTGTACAAAAGCGTAAACCGGGTGTGCGGTACTCTGTCTGTATGCATGTACCTATCCCAAGTGAATGCCAGTAAATTCTTGAACCAGTTTTGGCAGCATGCCCCCTAGAGTAGCTCTGATACCATGCTAGAATGTCATAGTGCCAGCGTAGCGGAAACGTGTTTGTACAAACAACAAGATAGAAATCTTGCATTGATCATTGAATTGTATAATGATAACACAATGATGATGAAGAAGTGACACAGCAGGGTATACATGTATACAGCTACCCCTCCAGACTGACCCATTCACACCAATAATGGTGTACCAATAATTGTACCATCTACCCTCCAATAATGCTAGGCTCCAATAATTGTGGCCCTACAATAATTGTGACGATTATTGTAGGACCTGGAAGCTTATAAAGAGGACTACCCTAAAACCGAACAGCACACTGGTATACAGTATTCGTTATACTGTATTCGGATTTCCAACACTTCACAATCCGAATTTGGCACTGGATATGAATGAGACTTGCACGTCGCAATGTTTTGAGCGACGCATTTGCATATGCTTGCGACGACATTTGTTTGAGCTGAAGTTTGGAAACTCGATCAGCATCATATGTGTTATAATCCCAAATGGGACTTAGCGAAGGATCGCTCGGGGTTGATCGCAGAGTAGTGTTGCAGCGGAAGTAGTGAACTCAGGTCAGAGTGAATGTAAATGACTGAGATTGATAATAGCATGCATACATCGAGTTTATATAAGAGTACAAGGGAATACGAAAGGACC